GAGGGTACTGAGCAATCACTGTTATGGTTGCCTCCAGGCTAGCTGAAAGTTGGACCGTAGAAAGGATGTTTCTAGCACTCACCAAAGGACCATCAGCACCGTAGACACCATAAACACTGCAGACTCCACGAACCGCCGCTTCTGGGCTGGGATCTCGCCGTCTGCTATCCACCCTTCCTTCTGTAGAGGAAAGCAGGATCAAGAACAAGAGCTCTTACAGGAGCTCAGTAGCTAAGGGAGTATGCAGAGCATAGCAATCCCTGTAGTGATTATAGCTGTCTCCTACAAACACGAGTCGAGGCTGCGAGTTAGAGGGTCAAGTAGTTCTGTTTAATAAGCACCAAAGGACTTTCTTTTATGCAAATTTTTACACAAAGTTTTCACCCACATGGTCTTGTGGAACAGCTGTCAATCAAATACATAATAAGACACTCCCAGTTAGGACACACAAACCCTCCCCTCTGCCTGTGATATAATTACTGTACATAATGGGTTAACTTAATAATCACAGGCATGAAAATACACAGTTTCATACAATATCCATAACTCACAAAATATACATACAATTCCCTCCAGTGGTTAAAAAAATAGGTGGAAGTCCTTTCTGACCGACCGCAAGCGTGGATCTGTAACGTGAGTTAAATTCGATAATCTATAATACTATATGTAGCGGAGGCCTGGTATTCCCCAGGTTAACTCCACTAGAGATCCCAGTGATGCTCAGGAACAAGTAGTAAAAATACCATGAAGTAATAATTCCAGCAAGCAAGGTAACCCAGAGAACAAAGGACCCACTGCACGAACTGCCAATTACTCGTTTGCAACATTGTTGCGAACAGTAATTGGAGACACACTTATTACTGGGGTGGTCTGATTGTTCGGTAGTTTCATTCGCATAAGAACTGGAGTGATTTGACCGAACAATCAGGCGAATGCTACATACACTTCACATATTACAAGTTACAGTTCAACCGAATACATAGACATAAATGCACTTTTTAGGACAGCCCAATGCCATCTGCTACACTATACTCACTGGCAGTGCCTTTAACCCTATGCTCTCTGCTTAAAGGACAACCATGTCTGTATGATCTTGGTCTAAAGCAACCCTGCACATACCTGAATATCAGATATATCTAAAAAGAAAAAAAAAATGAAATTTAAATAAAGGTGCTAACAGTGGCGGATCCAGAGCCTGATCTCGGGAGGGGCACTTGTAGATTATTTAAAGAAATAATCCAGACACAATAACCACTACAGCTCAGTGTAGTGGTTATGGTGTCAATAGTGCCGGGACCCCCTCCCACAGTAAGTAGTCAAACCGTTTAAGAACAGTTTGACAACTTACCTGAGGTCTGCTGGGAAATGGGGCTGCAGTAAGGTATAGGAGCAGTGGTGTGTGTGAGTGGTGCAATGTGTAAGGGGTGCAGTGTGTGTGTGTGTGTGAAGGTTGTAGTGTGTGAGTGAGGGCGGCAGTGTATGTCAGGGATGCAGTGTATGTGTGTCACAGTTGCAGTGTGTGTGAGTATTGCAGTGTGTGTGTATAGGGGCAGTGTGTGTGTATGGGGGCAGTTTGTGTGTGTATGGGGGGTGTGTGTGTATGGGGGCAGTGTGTGTGTGTGTATGGGGGGCAGTGTGTGTGTGTGTATGGGGGCAGTGTGTGTGTGTGTGTGTATGGGGGGCAGTGTGTGTGTGTGTATGGGGGCAGTGTGTGTGTGTGTATGGGGGCAGTTTGTGTGTATGGCAGTTTGTGTGTGGGGGCAGTTTGTGTGTATTGGGGGGCAGTATTGGGGGCAATGTATGTGTGTGTGATCAGGGTAGGGTGGCTTTTTTTTTAATTATATAATATTTTTTAATTTAATTAAAATAAATATTCTATGCCCCCCCTCCCTTCTTACCTTTACTGGGGGGAGGGGGGACATATTTCGATCCCTGGTGGTCCCAGTGGTGATTCCCTGGTGGTCCGATGGGGGATTCCCTGGTGGTCCAGTGGGGAGAGTGAACTCTAGCCCGCACTCCCGGGCTAGAGTTCACTCTCGCGAGATTTGGAGCGTTGCCGTGGTAACCACGGCAACGCTCCAAATCTCGCGAGAGGAGGACCCGGAGGAGCTGCAGTTTGAGCTCCCGGGTCCTCCCTCTCCCTCCCCTGCCGGCTGTCAGCACAGTGCCTGGAGGGAGAGGGAGACCGGCGGATTTCTCGGGGGCAATTGCCCCGTTGCCCCCCCCCTGGATCCGCCACTGGGTGCTAAGCATTTTTTTTCTTTTTTTACAGAGCAGGCAGTGGATGCATGGAATAGCCTTCCAGCTGAAGTGGTAGAGGTTAACACAGTAAAGGAGTTTAAGCATGCGTGGGATAGGCATAAGGCTATCCTAACTATAAGATAAGGCCAGGGACTAATGAAAGTATTTAGAAAATTGGGTAGACTAGATGGGCCGAATGGTTCTTATCTGCCGTCACATTCTATGTTTCTACAATATTTTATTGCTTTTATTGGAATCTGAGGGGCTCTGAGTAAAGTTCATATAAAACTTGCCCCCCTTGTGTATACATAGTATTTTGGATTTGCGTGTTTTAAGCAGGGAGCATAGGGTTAAAGGCACTGCCAGTGAGTATAGTATTATAGATTATAGAATTGAACTCACATGTTACAGATCCACTTGCTGAGAGCAGGTGGAGTGACTCCTAGTGGCACGTCTCTGTTATAACATGCTCAGTGGTATCTGCCCTAAGCAATCCTACCAGGTGTTTAGGGTGGTCGCCAGTCATATCACTCCAAGTCAGCATTGCAGTCCATGCTATGCCACTAGCCGATAGTTAAACTCATTAAGCTTTTATCCAACAAGTACAGGAATGGATAAAAAAAATCAATATCACCATTTCTGCACATTTTTACACTTAAGTGATACATTTTCCATGAATTGTGGTTTCCGAAACAGTTAGTGAAGAGTTACTAAATATTAAAGTAATTACTAACTGTGCCAAACAGTTCTTCAACTGACATATCCTTCTAGTTTGTATGTTTGTAATTAATGGCATTTGCATTACATGTCTGCATAAATTGTGACTCAGTCAAACAAAGTAATTATGTAAAACGTGTAAAACCAAGAGTTAACAACATGTTAAGAAAAGGGGTCTCTGATACTGGTTAGTGATTGGTTACTCCAGGCACCATGACCACTCCAGTCATTTGATATTCCAAGCAGATTTCTCCCACTTCAGACTTTGTTTTCTGTCCATCAGCCTTCTCAGCCCAGTTTCAGCATTGAGGTTTCATTTCTCTGTTTAGTGCATGGTTGAATGCTGCAGGATGGGCCGAGTCAAGCTTTCCTCTGAACCAGCTGCTAGCACTCTGCAATCCCAGCTTCGTTAGGCACTTTCTTATATGTGCATGTTCTCATGTTCAGCGTACGCAGCTCTCTGACACACGCTGGCAATGACGGTCATTGGTGCTTCACCTACTGCGCTCCAACTGTCTGTGCAAACCAATGGTATTATATGTGGCCAACTACTGTCCTCTCTACATAATCAAGATAATTGTTTAGGAGAAGGTGGGAAAGGCTAGCAAGAGAAGACTCGGGCGCTATAATTTGTCTTCCTGCTCTCTGCTACGTTTTTGGAGAACAAGGAACAGAAAGATAAATTGGGAGAAAAGAGACATAAGGACATGGGAACATGGGAAAGAAGACTGAAGGTTCAACCACCTTGGCTTTAGGTAGACTTTAAATTGGCTTTAGGTAGACCTTATTTTGGATTTAAGTAGACTTTATTATAGCATCGAGGTAAAAGCCCACAAGTGTTTCAACCTTTGCTCCAGGGGAGTAGGAACCCTCCAGGAAAAGGCTTAAGGAGCCGAGACTCTGGAGACCTGAGATCAGTGAGCACAATTTGGAATTGCAGGAAAGAAAATTGGGGGATAAATAGACAGAAAGAAACAGGAATGATTATAAAAAATCATTCAGACAAAAAGGAAAATGGTATCGAGCAATGCTGGCTGACAGGATTAAACTGACAGACAGACTGACAGAAAGGATAGAACCATAGGCGTGCGCCTGTTGTGCCTGGGCACACCCTAATCCCCGCGGCACGCCTATGGAGTGAGACTGGCAGGGGAGATCTCAGGATCTCCCCTGTCGGCTCATGCAGAGCCAGCGCTATCTGAGCGCCAGCTCTGCTCTCAGCCTCCCTCCCCACCGACCCACAGGCAGGGAGGGAGGTAGGAGAGGACCCGGGGAGCTATTGCCGACAGCTCCGCCGGGTTCCTCTCTCGAGATCTGAGCGTTGCCGTGGCTAGAGTTCACTCACCACTGGACCACCAGGGAAGGCAGCAGCATGGTCCCCCCTCCCTACATAAGGTAATAAGGGAGGCGGGATATCAAGTAATCTGCCCCCTCCTCCACTGGACCACCAGGGAAGGCAGCAGCAACAAGGACCCCCCCCTCCCTACATAAAGTTAGAAGGGAGTGGGGATATTAAGTAATGTACCCCCACCTCCACCCCCCACAATCACCCACACACATACACAGCACCTACACACATACATCACCCACACACATACACAACACCTACACACATACAGCACCCACACACATACACAGCACCAACACACATACAGCACCCACACACATACACAGCACCTACACACATACACAGCACCTACACACATACAGCACACACACACATACACACAACCTACAGACATACACAGCACCCACACACATACACAGCACCAACACACATACAGCACCCACACACACAGCACCCTCACAAACACACACAGCACACAAACAGCACCCTCACACACAGCACACAAACAACACCCTCACACACATACAGCACACTAACAGTACCCTCACAAACACAAACAGGACCCTAACAAACACACACACAGCACACTAACAGTACCCTCACACACAGTACATTAACAGCACCCTCACAAGCACGCACACACACACACAAACACCTTCACCCACATAGCACACTACCAGCACCCTCACACACACACACACAGCAGTGTGTGTGTGTGTGTGTATATATATATATATATATATATATATATATATATATATATATATATATATATATATATATATATATATATATATACACACACACGCGGCTTGTGCTTTAGGGTGCACACCCTAATGCAATAGGCTGCACACGCCTATGGATAAAACTGACAGCCTGATAAAACCCATTAAACCGACAAACCAAAAGCATGTAACAGACAAACAGACTGACAAAATTCATTGAACAGACAGACTAGCAAAAAGGATGGAACGGACTTTACATCTGTATTTATATAGAGAGCATTGTAGTGACAGACAGAAAGCATACAACTGACAGACACACAGAAAGAAAGGAACAGACCGAAAGCATTGAACTGATAGACAGACAGAGTACAACTGACAGGCCGACAGACCGAGTACAACTGACAGGCCGACAGACCGAGTACAACTGACAGGCCGACAGACCGAGTACAACTGACAGGCCGACAGACAGAGTAAAACTGACAGGCCGACAGACCGAGTACAACTGACAGGCCGACAGACAGAGTAAAACTGACAGGCCGACAGACAGAGTAAAACTGACAGGCCGACAGACCGAGTACAACTGACAGGCCGACAGACCGAGTACAACTGACAGGCCGACAGACCGAGTAAAACTGACAGGCCGACAGACAGAGTAAAACTGACAGGCCGACAGACAGAGTACAACTGACAGGCGACGGGCCGAGTACAACTGACGAGCGACGGGCCGAGTAAAACGGCAGGCCGTAAAGAAACTGACAGGCCAACAGGCGAGTAAAACGTGAGCCCGACGGGCCGAGTAAACTGACAGGCGACGGGCGAGTACAACTGACAGGCCGACAGGCCGGTAAAACGACAGGCCGACGGAGCCGAAGTACAACTGACAGGCCGACAGACCAGTACAACGGTAGGCCGACAGACCAGTAAACTGACGAGCGACGGGCCGGTAAAACTGACAGGCCATTGGGCAGTACAACTGACAGGCCGACAGACCGAGTACAACTGACAGGCCGACAGACAGAGTACAACTGACAGGCCGACAGACCGAGTACAACTGACAGGCCGACAGACCGAGTAAAACTGCCAGGCCGACAGACCGAGTACAACTGACAGGCCGACAGACCGAGTACAACTGACAGGCCGACAGACAGAGTACAACTGACAGGCCGACAGACACAGGCCGACAGACAGAGTACAACTGACAGGCCGACAGACAGTACAACTGTACAACTGACAGGCCGACAGACAGAGTACAACTGACAGGCCGACAGACAGAGTACAACTGACAGGCCGACAGACAGAGTACAACTGACAGGCCGACAGACCGAGTACAACTGACAGGCCGACAGACCGAGTAAAGCTGACAGGCCGACAGACAGAGTACAACTGACAGGCCGACAGACCGAGTACAACTGACAGGCCGAGTAGATTAGCGGAAACGGTGAGGTGTTTGAGGGAACGAATGGTGGGGTGCTTAGAGGGAACGGTGAGATGACTATAGGGAACGAATGATGAGGTGATAAGAGGGACTGGAATCCGAGACTGAGGGGAACACAGAGCAGAAGTTGGTTCCCACAGGGAGATTTATGGTAAGAGAATAAATAACATATTTTTCTTTTAAGATACTGAAGAGGAGCAAAGAAGGAACAAATAAAGAGGTAACGTAGCAAGGTTGCAGGATTTTAGTGTGGTGTTATTGTTACATAACATGGGGGCTGAGTGTGGATGGGATGAATGGCGTAACTATTTAATGGGGTGATGGTTTAATGGGATGGGAGCAGGGTGTATGAATGGGGTGATGGTTTAATGGGATGGGAGCAGGGTGTATGAATGGGGTGATGGTCTAATGGGATGGGAGCAGGGTGTATGAATGGGGTGATGGTTTAATGGGATGGGAGCAGGGTGTATGAATGGGGTGATGGTCTAATGGGATGGGAGCAGGGTGTATGAATGGGGTGATGGTTTAATGGGATGGGAGCAGGGTGTATGAATGGGGTGATGGTTTAATGGGATGGGAGCAGGGTGTATGAATGGGGTAATGGTTTAATGGGATGGGAGCAGGGTGTATGAATGGGGTGATGGTCTAATGGGATGTATGAATGGGGTGATGGTCTAATGGGATGTATGAATGGGGTGATGGTCTAATGGGATGGGAGCAGGGTGTATGAATGGGGTGATGGTTTAATGGGATGGGAGCAGGGTGTATGGATGAGGTGATGGTCTAATGGGATGGGAGCAGGGTGTATGAATGGGGTGATGGTTTAATGGGATGGGAGCAGGGTGTATGGATGGGGTGATGGTCTAATGGGATGGGAGCAGGGTGTATGGATGGGGTGATGGTCTAATGGGATGGGTGCAGGGTGTATGGATGGGGTGATGGTCTAATGGGATGGGTGCAGGGTGTATGGATGGGGTGATGGTCTAATGGGATGGGAGCAGGGTGTATGAATGGGGTGATGGTCTAATGGGATGGGTGCAGGGTGTATGAATGGGGTGATGGTCTAATGGGATGGGAGCAGGGTGTATGAATGGGGTGATGGTCTAATGGGATGGGTGCAGGGTGTATGGATGGGGTGATGGTCTAATGGGATGGGAGCAGGGTGTATGGATGGGGTGATGGTCTAATGGGATGGGAGCAGGGTGTATGGGTGCAGGGTGTATGAATGGGGTGATGGTCTAATGGGATGGGAGCAGGGTGTATGGATGGGGTGATGGTCTAATGGGATGGGTGCAGGGTGTATGAATGGGGTGATGGTCTAATGGGATGGGAGCAGGGTGTATGGATGGGGTGATGGTCTAATGGGATGGGAGCAGGGTGTATGAATGGGGTAATGGTCTAATGGGATGGGTGCAGGGTGTATGAATGGGGTGATGGTCTAATGGGATGGGAGCAGGGTGTATGAATGGGGTGATGGTCTAATGGGATGGGAGCAGGGTGTATGAATGGGGTAATGGTCAATGGGTGGGTGCAGGGTGTATGAATGGGGTGATGGTCTAATGGGATGGGAGCAGGGTGTATGGATGGGGTGATGGTCTAATGGGATGGGTGCAGGGTGTATGAATGGGGTGATGGTCTAATGGGATGGGAGCAGGGTGTATGGATGGGGTGATGGTCTAATGGGATGGGAGCAGGGTGTATGAATGGGGTGATGGTCTAATGGGATGGGTGCAGGGTGTATGAATGGGGTGATGGTCTAATGGGATTGGTGCAGGGTGTATGGATGGGGTGATGGTCTAATGGGATGGGAGCAGGGTGTATGGATGGGGTGATGGTCTAATGGGATGGGAGCAGGGTGTATGAATGGGGTGATGGTCTAATGGGATGGGAGCAGGGTGTATGGATGGGGTGATGGTCTAATGGGATGGGAGCAGGGTGTATGGATGGGGTGATGGTCTAATGGGATGGGAGCAGGGTGTATGAATGGGGTAATGGTTTAATGGGATGGGAGCAGGGTGTATGGATGGGGTGATGGTCTAATGGGATGGGAGCAGGGTGTATGAATGGGGTAATGGTTTAATGGGATGGGAGCAGGGTGTATGAATGGGGTAATGGTTTAATGGGATGGGAGCAGGGTGTATGAATGGGATGATGGTTTAATGGGATGGGAGCAGGGTGTATGATGGGATGGGGTGCAGGGTGTATGAATGGGATGAATGGGATGGGAGCAGGGTGTATGAATGGGATGATGGTTTAATGGGATGGGAGCAGGGTGTATGGATGGGGTGATGGTCTAATGGGATGGGAGCAGGGTGTATGAATGGGGTAATGGTCTAATGGGATGGGAGCAGGGTGTATGGATGGGGTGATGGTTTAATGAGATGGGAGCAGGGTGTATGGATGGGGTGATGGTCTAATGGGATGGGTGCAGGGTGTATGAATGGGGTAATGGTCTAATGGGATGGGAGCAGGGTGTATGGATGGGGTGATGGTTTAATGGGATGGGAGCAGGGTGTATGAATGGGGATGGGAGCAGGGTGTATGAATAGGTTAATGATCTAATAGGCGCAGTTATTAGGAATGGGGTAATGTCAGTAATTGATAGTCATGCTTTCATAAAGGTGTTATTTGCCAAATATATTATAGCACCATGGATAATGATTCTGATATTTAATATATTTTGTTTCTTAGTCTTTATGATTGGGTTATAGAGATTGAACTGTATTCATTGCTGCTAGGGTCCGTGTCAGTTAGGGATTATTACTTTTACCTGACATAACCGTTAGTCAGCAAGACTCTGATGGCTTTTTAAGTGTTTTACAAAAGCAACAATGTTTATCATTTTATAGAAAATCAAGTAACCTAATTCAGAAATAACAAGCAGTGTCTGTATGGCACGGCACATGACCAGCACGTTGGAAGCAGTTGAAGGAGGACAGTTGGTGAAACCTTGTAAATTGATGGACACCATGGGCAGTGGTGTATTATGAATTTGTGCTGCCTTAGGCATGAACAAACTCGGGCACCATCCCAAATAAAATTTTCCCCACTAGGCATGTGCATGGGGAAAATTTTTGGTTCGGTTCGGCATTCCGAAATTCGGGACTTTCGCAATTAGGGACTTCGGCATTTTGGAAATTCGGCACTTCAACACTTCGGAACTTCTCTTGCAGGTGCTTAGTAGATAACTCCCTAATTCCCGAAGTACCCGAATGTCTGAATTGCCCGAAATTAGTCCGAATTCATATTCGGACCGAAACGAACTGCACATGCCTATTCCCAACCCCTTCCTGTCAAGGCCGCACACACTTTGACTGACATACACCCCCTCACTGATGCATGCACTGACAAACACACTGTTTAGCCAACACATACTTTCACTGACAGACACGCACATACAATGGCATACATGACACAGACTCACTGATTTGACACTGACAGACACACACAGACAGACATACACACTCACTGACACACTCAATGACAGACATATACACTCACTGACAGACACACACACTCATTAACTGACAGACCGACACACTCACTGACACACACACACACACACACACACACAGACAGACACTCACTACAGACACAATCACAGACACATACACACACTGACAGACAGGCATACACACACACACACACACATTAACTGACA